TTGCTATCCGAATACTATTCGTCGGATAATTCGGAAACGTGAAATTCTTGAACAAAATCACATCAAAAGTTCATATACTCATCATTTCTTACTTATTTCAATGTTTATGAGTGTCTGTGTATGCCGAGTATGAAATCTTACTTTCGATTTGCAAATTGTTTGAGCCGCGAAGAAAAAAAACGTGCCTACCTTTAGCCGCAATTATTAAGACTATCCATGATATCCAAAAAAATCAACGAGGTGAATAAATTTGTGTATAACTACTCCTGTAATCTGCGGCCCTCCCACTTATCATTTTTGCTCAATCAACACGAATGAAAAAGGTAAATAAAAACATCTAACATTTATTCCGCCCAGGTCGTTTGCCTCATTCTGATAATCTACTGCTATTGAACCAATCAGTATAAGTGAGAATATACATGACCTAGGTCGTTACGAATAAATTACATTGCGGGAAGTCTAAAGACAGTGTTAATTTGTATCCCGTAAACTCAAGAAGTAGCTTCTATCTAGCGTAAACCAACGCGAGGAATGAATGAATATTTTTTTATTTAGACTACTGTTTTCGTCGCACTGCATTAATATTTATGATGAAAGCTGCGTACGTGATCAATAACATTGGTGAAAATTTCAAAGTAATCAGATGTAAAAATGGCTAAATATAGGGCATGGCCATATGGTTAGCGCATGCACGTTGTAATAAGGTATGCCATAAACCCCATTTACATGACGGCACGGCACAGTTCGTTTTTTTGTAGTGTGGATGGGTCAAACATAACATAAGCGTGCCGTGCCTGGTATCATGCCAATCTGACCCACTGAAGTGAGGTTGTCTCGGCAAGGTACCAATTTCTGTCTTAACACACTGCATATGCACATCTTCATTAGTAATTATGATATCTATTATTGTATGCCCAATTTAGACTACAGTGCACTCTGTCACATCGTACGGGATCGTTACAATATGTCGGATTACGCAGAGTGTCGGAATACCCAGTTTTCTCAAACCCGGAAAAATTGGAACTTATAATGTAGCTTCGAAAATAAAACTTCGAATCACCAGAAGGTTATTCCCTTTAAAAGTGATAAACCTTTCTGTACATTCAAACATTCAAAATTATATTACATTAATTTTTATTTCATTTAACATGCGTAGGCATTTTGAATAGGTCAAGTCTGTCGTTAATTTATCTTCTTCGCCGTCTTAAGTTGATCGCACTCTTGTCTTTGCTATCACGTGTTCATTGATAATTGGGCTTATTTGATTGAACGTTCTGGAATTGAATTCTCTCAATCCGAAAAATATTGACAATCGAGTGAAAATGGGTACTTGGGGCTACAACGCATGCGTCGACTGGATATATAAATATCTCATCCAACCATGCAGCCGAAACCTGTTCGTCGTGTTTAATTACGTCACAATTATTCTACTCACACCACCTCCGTTGTCGGGACTAACAGAACTGTGACAGGACTGACTTCCGCGTCACTCGATTGCAATTCTGTCAATTTGGGACGTTCCGGACTGTGAATCGAGCATCGTCACACGGTTCGAAGACATCTGTAGGGTGACCAAACTTATAGATTATTGATGTTTCCAACAGGTGCGAGGAATATTTTTACGACTGAATTCGGGGGAAAATTCGTGAATATTCTTGAGTATTTGTCACAACTGTCGTACAAGAGATTAAAATTATCAAAGTAATCAACATAGACCCACGGTAGCGAGTTTTAATCTCACAGATAATTGATTGGTGATTGCTTGTTAATCTTTCGTGGTTTCACACCCATCCAGTTTTAATCTCACGGATAATTGATCGGTAAGTGTTTGCTTCACACCCACCGATTGAAGGCCGGATTATACGGTGTCGATTCAATGGAAATCGTATGATGGGACGGCGGATTGATGTCGTAATCCGGAACGTACAGAGGTCGAATTACCCAGAGATTTTTTGGCTGAAGTAATAAGGAAATAAATCCGGACATGAAAATAGTGTCGGATGTAACAGAGTGCCGGAGTGATCAGAGGTCGAATGTGACAGAGTGCACTGTACAGTTGGCCGATCTTTTTCAAATTTAGTGTGAAGCATTGTGGTCATGAGGACTTAACCTACGTTCTACAAACTTCTGTTTTGGATTTAACTTGCTTTCCAGAAGAAGCCACGGTGGCTCAGTGATTAAAATAATGGCTAACTAACGAGGGGGTCGATTCTGGTGTTAGTTAAGAATGTCCCCCTTGTTAGTGGTGTAGGACAGAGGACCTGGCAAAGACAGCGTTTAGTCCTTCAAATAGGACAGAAAATCAAGATCTTGTGCTCATGTTGGATGTGCACATTAAAGAACACTTTATGTGTGTCTGTGTGTCACCTACAGGCCACAATTTTTAACAGATCCTCTTGAAAATTTGCATACCTATTCCTTATAGCCTAAGGAGTATCCCTATTGTTTGTTTTGTTGAATGCCCAATCTAAAAGGTCACACCCATTTTTTTCTTTTTGTGTCTGTGCCTACAGGTTGAAATTCTTAATGGATCGTCTTTGAACATGGAATATGTATTCCTTGTAGCCTAAGGATGGCAACTATTGATTTTGGTGCATGTCCCAAAGCCAAGGGGCAGAACCACACTCAATTTCTGTGTTTATTGTATAGAAACTGCAATTGTGAATGGATCATTTTGGAACTTGACATATTATTATGTATTCTGTATAGCCTAAGGGTGGCAACTATTGATTTTGGTGCATGTCCTGTCCCCCAGGGGCAGAGACACGCCCACTTTTGGGGTTAGGGCATGAAGGCCACAATTCTGAATAGATTGTCTTGGAACTTAGTATACTTATTCCTTATACTTATACTTATTCCACACCAAATCAGACTTCAATTCTGAATGGATCATCTTGGAACTTGGCATATTTATTCCTTATACCGTAAGGATATTAGCAACTATCTATTTCGGTGCATGGCCCGACCCCTAGCGGTGGTGCCACACCCACTTTTTTTGTTAATGCTTTGTCTGTAAATATTATACAGGTTACAATTATTAATAGATTTTTTTCAAGTTGCCTAAAAGAATGCTTAAAATTTAGAATATGGTTAAATTAAATGAATTCCTTTAAATAATCCAGACATGTTTGAAAACCCATTTTAGATTATGGTTAGATAAAAAGCTAGCTATCAAAAACTAACAGTAACTTAATTATATAGTATCCTGACATTAAACTGACATTTGTTTTACGTTATACAACCAATATTAGGTTTTTGTTAGAAAACTTATGTTAGATTTATGTTAGAAAACTAATGTTAGATTTATGTTAGAAAACTAATGTTAGATTTTTTGTTAGAAAACTAACGTTAAATTAACGATTGAAATTATGACATAAAACTAACATTAGAAAACTAACCATAAACTAACAGTTAGAAAATTGACGTAAAATTTACATTACATTAATGTGAGAATAATAACCAATAATACATACATGTATGTCCTTATTATGTCTGAATTCCGACTATTTATCAATTGTTAGAATGTGCACACACTGCTATGGTTATTTAATCAAGAAGCATTCAAAGCGAAAAAAAAATGGTTAGATAACCGTCATAAAATTTACATTAGATTTACGTCAATTTCTGATGTAAAAGTAACCATAACCATTATGACGTAAAAGTAACGTAAATTTAACCGCAAAATTTTACCATTATTGGACGCTAACCAAAATCTAACCATAATGATGTAAACTTTACGTAAATCTAACAATCAATGTTAACTAGGAGGTCACAATTATTAACTGTTCGAATATATCACTGTTACACCGTAATGTTATGTTGGTTGAGTTCGAATTTTGTGAAAATCAGATGAAAACTGCCAAAATAGCCGCCCCTGTAAGCAAAAAGTGTAAACATCTGGTATATCAAGGTTGTGGACCCTCTGGAGGTCACAATTTTGATCCAATTTTGATGAAACTTGAAATGCATGTTTATAATCCAAAGATCTTGGTTGCTGTAGATATTCGCGCATATCTGATCATACCTTCCTGAATTATGGCCCTTGATATTACGAGAAATCGCTTTTTATACACCCACAGTGTTTATGGCCATATGACGGAGAAGCCTATTGATTTTCAGCGATTTCCGATAATTACTGCCAGAGTTATGGCCCTTGATCACTTTGAAAAATCTTGTGACGCTCTAGAGGCTAAAGTTATCATCCGATTGACTTCAGATTGATACATAGAGTTTAAGATCTTGAAACGAACAAATAAATTTTTATGGCTTGAACAGCTAAATCCATATATTAAAAGTTTTGTATACTAAGCGTTAGCATGGAGCAGAACTTTATAAAAACCAAACAAATTCTAATGGTTTTAAAATAATTACTTCATGAGTTGTTACTCTTAATCAGATTTTAGTGTATTATAAATGTTTCATTACCGAAAAAAGTAAAAATATGCAACAACACTTGTTGACTGCCCTGACGATTTAGCTGTTGTGGGCGTATGTTTTGTTGCCTGGCAACCTATCTTTGTTTAGCTTGTTCTCTATCCATCTCTTGTAAAATGTGGGCGTATCCTGTCTGGCAGCCAATGGTTTTTACCAATCGACTTGAATGAACTTCAAGCGGCTAAAGCCGACAAAAAACAGCCGATTAAGATCCCAGTATATAACCAAAGAAAACTCAGTTCATATGGACAATACACTGACTTGAATACACGTACTTTGTGTATTTATTAATTTAAATTTTATGATGCCTGTTTATGTCATGCAAACATGCTGTTGAATGGGGTTGGAAAATATGGATAATGAGCTTTGTGGTAAAAAATTCAAAACGGTATTCGATCATGTGTGCAGCAGAAATTAATTGGCTTATAAAGTCCAATTTTTGTCTCATCAATATCCTTATGTAACTAAAGAAAGATCAGTTGTACTACATTTAATTACATCTCATTCAACTGACTCTAATTTGAAGAGGAAAAAGACACGTTACATATTTAGATATTGTATTTTAGGTAAAACTGATGACATATTATGATATTGTGTTGGATTTTATTATGATGGATGCATTTGATGATCTAGAAGGTCCGCCATCTACAGTAACGGCTGTCGTGCAGAATCGATGGCTTTCAAACGGGTTTAAAGAAACAGTAAGTTTTAATTATAACATTCCAAAATATTAGTAGATATTTTCTTCAGATAAGGTGTAAATTCTGTGTGATATTCATTTTTATTTACTGGCAGGTTTTATGTTGATATGTTTTGTTAAAAAATAAATTGTAGCAGGTTTTATGATGATTTGTTTTGTTTTGTGACTGGTTCTATGATGTAATGTGTTATATTAGTTTATGATGATGTATTATGTTGTTTTTAGGCTTTATCTACAGCTATATGGTCAGTTTTAAAAGCCAAAAGAAGAATGTTGAAGGTAAACTTGTATATTATATTTACAGTAACACCATTAAAGCTGTGAAATGGTTTGAAGAAATCTTCTCGCTGGCAGTTCAACTGTGTGAATAAACACCCTAGAAGTTATAATGTTTGGGAAGGGGCTAAGGGGATCCGGCCATGGCTTTCTGGGCTGTCAAAATATCGGATATGTGTGATTATCAAAAGGAACTAAGATCTTTGTGATAAAAACATATATATTTAAAGTTTCATCCAAATCGGATAAAAACTGTGGCCTCTAGATGGCCAACAACCTTGATACACCATATTTTTACATCGGATATTAACTTTGGCCTCTAGAGCATCCACAAGATTTTTTGAAGTGATCAAGGGCCATAACTCTGGCATTAATTATCGGAAATTGCTGAAAATCAATAGGCTTCTTCGTCTCATGGGATTAAACACTGTATATGAATTTAAAGTCAATCGGACGACAATAAAAATCATAAAAGTTTTTGGGAAAAAATCGGACGTTCACGATCATCGTAGGGAAGGGGCGTAACTGGTGTATAATTTTGCAGAATCAGACGATGATTATTCTCATTTGTATTCTGTAGTTAGTAGCAGGGAAGTGTATAAATGTATGGGCTGGCATGGCAAGCATTTATTTCAGCACAATCTAACCAAAGCAGCACTTTTCACCAATGACCAACGATTATTCTCAAATGACCACTGATCTCCACCATTACCTTACTACTATATGTTTCGTTATTTGAATATGCCTGTCAAATATGGTATTTTGGTCAAAAAATCGTAACGTTTTCGTGACAAAATCAGAAAGGGAAGGTCATAAGTCGTGCATAATTTTGCAGTGATCAAACCACGTATAAATTTATGGGCTGCCATGTCTATCATAAACTTGATATATCTGTTATCCACATACTCATGTAAAGAACCACAAGAAAACATTTTTTTAAGTGTTCATGGAGAGGCATTTAATATCTGGTAGTTCCCTTGTTTAGGAGATCGTTATGCTTTCCATATTGAAATCCCCAAAGGGGAAGATAGCATAGATAACAACGGGTTTCATGGCACTCCAGACAATCCAGGATAATTTTGACTGCACACATGCCAACCTCCGGCATATACTTATGTTCGAGCAGAAGTGTTCACTTACTTAGATTCTGACCTGCCTTCCTATGTTCTTAGTTTTGGGACCCCATTTTTGTAATGATGTTTTTGGCTTATATATGTCATCTCCTTCAGTAGATTTCAATATGTAATGTATGTTGTCTCCTGATTTTGAATAACTCTCCATTAAAATTTCCAAATGTTTCTATACACTGTTTTGCTTCTAAATACCGATGGGAATAAGCACGGTCTAATTCCTAAAATATGTTTCACCAAAATAACCTATTTGGCACGTATAAGTAATTCAAAGATAGTTGACAGTGAAGAGACGCACCCGTCGAACAATGTCATACTTAACATCTCTATATATGTGTATATATGGAATTCTAACCTTCTATCCATTGTTAATTTGAAAGATATAACGGTAATTAATTTTAGCACGTGTAGTCATGCTGATCATGTGTGTATGGCTCAATGCCACTTGATCATCTACAATCTCCTCCGTCCTTAAAACCTGTTATACGCGGTGCATCCCTCAGAACACCCCAATTTCTTCAAGCCAAATAGGCCTGCAGCCAAAATTTCTAGAGTGAAGTCCTCCCAAAAAACAAACTATACATTTTTGGAAAGCTTATAACACCAGTAACAAAAATCCAGAGAGTTCCAAGCAAAAAGTTTGCACTAACTCAATTTAGGGCCAGATGACAATTGTGATAATTGTCAAGTAAAGGCTATATTTATACCAACAAGTGTGAAGTTGACATAAAATTAAATATTGGTGAAAACACCCGATGCCTTCATCCTATGCAAAGAATATGCTATTGGTTAAATTTTGATTGGTTAAATCATAAAGGACAGGGGAACATACAAAATTTCGGAAATCCATTTAATGGTAAAAGGAGTTATCTCCCTTTATGGAAAATATCAATAATCATTGATAACAGTATTTTGTTTAAAGAATTTGATAAACTGACTAGGATTTAACTACAAACTAGGGCCTATATAAGTTCAACTTTTTTTCAGATAAGATTTGAGGCTAAAGGTCTAACAAATATTTAACCTGAAACATAGCATATACAGATATTTAGTTTTCTCACTAAAATAGATATGGCCAAAACTAAATAATACTGTAAAGGGAGTGACACTATTGTAATGAAGAGAAAAAAAAATCAAATGGAGTTTAATGTCTTACTGTTCTGCACAGCCCATATAATGAAGATGAGCATACGTCATACCTGTAGTTGGGGAGGGGGCATTGTACGTGTACAGCTAGTATGTAAATGTCATCATCAGACGCAAGGGAGCCGCGGTGACTCAGTAAAGAGCTGGCTAACTTATCGGGCGGACAAGGGTTTGATCCTAGTCTGGCGTGGTTCCCCCTTGTCTGTGGCTCACTAATCAGGAGATCCAGGGTTTGATCCCCGTGTTGACCTAGACAGTTCTCCAAACTTTCCAGCTTTGTTTCACCTTGTCAGTGGTGCAGAAAGTAGGGGTGGGGGCAGCTGTGATTGTCAGCGTCTAGTTATTTGGATGGAATATAAAACTGAGGTCCCGTGCACACATTGGCGTGCACGTAAAAAAACTTTAAATTCGAAATAAAGTGTAGACCGTAACGTTGCTGTTTGGACCAAATTCCCCCTACAGCATAATGTATGGCGGGCGTATACGTACATCTTCATTATCCCGGTTGATACTGAACAGTTAGGCATTAAAACTCCATTTGATTTTTTTTTCTCTTTATTACAATTGCCACTCCCATACAGTATTATTTAGGATTTGCCATACAATGTATATCTATTTTAGTGAGAAAATTACATATAGATGCTTTGTTTCAATTCAAATATGTAGCCCCAAATCTAATCTGAACTAAAAGTTTACAGATATATTATTATAGTAGAAATACTGTTTTGGGAGAACATAATTATAATAGATACAGTTTCAGTTTAAATATGTTTGTAATTCGGGGGGGTTGGATGGCCGAATGGTTAGCACGCGCGCGCTGTATCATACGGTCTGTCATTGAGTCAACTGGTGGGGTTTCGATTCCCCGGTTGTACATGACAAGGAGTAGGGTCGCCTGTCCAACCTCGTGGGTTTTCTCCGGGTCCTCCGGTTTCCTCCCACAGCTAAGGTCCCTACGCGCAAGCGAATTATGGAAATAAAATTGAACCATGTGTTAGTCCCTAAATGACCTAGTTTGTGTCGAGTGGAAATTAAACCCCATTTCTCTCTCTCTCTGTTTGTAATTCAGCCTTAAATATCTGAACTAGAGGTTTACAGCTACCTGTAGTAAAAATAATGTAGGGTGTAATTGAAAGGGTATGTAGGTGTAGGTTTATGTTTTAGTGGAAAAAATCATGTGGTTTCAATGCGATTTACAAAACTATGAACAGTCCGGTCCCCATTACTTCATAGACATATTGCTCAACCAATGTCAACATATCTCCTTGTTCATCAGACTAGGCCCATACCCGCCCATAATTTCTGAGTAAACACCCGCTCCCCAACCCTTGCAGTCCCTTGGGACCCAATTAACAATATAAATATTGGGCTTGTGTGCTCACACATGGTCTTGTGCTTCATACAGCATCAGCAGTCAACACACAACTGAAATACTACAATTAATTGCAGACATTTGACAGAAAGGGAGATAACTCTCTATTACCAGTACTGGAGTTCCAAAATTCTGTATATTCCCTTGTCCATTATGTTTTCTGCATTTTGGTTTAAATCAAAATTTAATCAATAACATATTCTTTGCCGAGGATGAAGGCATTGAGTGTTTTCGCCAATATTTAATTCTATGTCAACTTCACAATTGTTAGTATAAATATAGCATTTACATGAAAATTATCACAATTTTCATCTGGCTCTAAATCGAGTTAGAGCAATCATTTTTCTTGGAACTCTCTGGATTTGTGTTCCTGGTGTTATAGGCTTTTCAAAAATGTATAGTTTGTTTATTTGGGCGGACCATGTAGCGGAATTGTGTTGCTAAGCAAGCTAGAAATTTCGGCTGCAGGCCTAAAAGGCGACGTAACAGTTTGAGATTGGTTATCCGGTTCTCCACGGAAAATTTCCAGTCACGAGAATGTACTGGAGAGTGATCTTTTACCCGATAGCTGAAATATGTTTCATTTCATTACTATATCATATTCATATAAGATTTATTCTGTGTAAATTCCATTGGACATTCGTGAAACTTGTCCCTTGGTTAAGTCAAACGTGGTCTAACACATGCGCTTTAGATCAAAAGGTATGTCATAGAGTTAAGTGGCATGGTTTCCATTACAAGCTTATGGGTATTATGTCCAATCTCACGGATTCTTTCTTTTCGCGTATACACACATATAAATAAAACTGTATCATATGTTAGTCCCCAAATTACCTAGTTTGTCTCGAGTGGACCATAAACTTTGTTTCTCTCTCAAGTCAAAATCATCCTTGATGACGACTGAATGGAATATATAAACTTTGTAAAGATGACCAAACATGTGCATCACCATATCTTCTTCCCAAAATGACCTAGTTTGTGTCCAGTGGACGTTAAACCCAATTTCTTTTCTCCTTCTGAAGTCTAAATCATCCTTGCTAAATGATTAAATGGAATATATTAAATTTGTAAAGATGTTCATACATATTCTTCATTTGGGGTATTGATAAACGGGACATATTATACCAATTTTTGGTGTTTTTAATTTATTTCTGATTTTTTTTATTATGTCTTTGTCGTTCATTTTTATTTTGTTAGTAGGGATGTCGCTAGTTGTGGGTAACATTCAGCTTTGGTCATAGTCCCTGTCGAGAACGAACTATAGCCTCTCACACATTGGTTTTCATTAAATTCAATTTTCAGAGCGAGTTGAGTATCTGGCCAGTACCAAGATATCATTGGTGGTAGAAACTTAA